ACAGGAGGGGAGTGGAGAGAGAAAGGGAGAGGCAGATACAGGAGGGGAGTGGAGAGAGAAAGGGAGAGGCAGATACAGGAGGGGAGTGGAGAGAGACAGGGAGAGACACACTCCTTGTCCCCAAGGCACCCTGGGGACCCTAGTGGGGCCATCTGCAGGGACCCCAGGCTCCACCCACCAAAAAGGGGCATGTGGGAGAGCACCGGGAGGACCGCAGCCCCCAGGAAGCTGCGCACACAGTCACCATGCCATCAGAGAGAACAGAAAGCAGGTCTGGAAGAGCTGCCTGCCCACCATTGGTGCTCACAGCAGCCAAAGGGGAAGGTCACTCGAGTGTCCGTGGACGGAGGAGGGACCCACAGTGGGGCCCAACCCATCCACAGGGATGTGACTCAGCCTTAACAAGGAAGAAATTCGGACACAGGCCACGCTGCGGATGTGCCTTGAGGACGTCCTGCCAAGCTGAAGACGGCAGGCACAGAAGGACAAGCCCCATCCCAGTCCACTCATTGGAGGCCCCAGAGTTGTCAGATCCGTGGAGACAGGGAGCAGGTGGCGGCCAGGGCTGGGAGGGAGGAAAGTCCCTGTTTCACGGGCAGAGCTTCAGTTTGGGAGGATGAGAAACCTCTGGAGATGGATGGTGGAGATGTTTGCACAACGTGAATGCACTTTAAAAAATGGCCAAAATGGTAAATTTTATGTTATGGCTATTTTACCACAATTAAACCTCAAAGGGGCTGTCTGAGTGGGGCGGAGCCAGCCAAGCCCCAGGTGCAGGTGCTGGGCTGCTCTGCTGGGCATCGACCCATGGCCCCACCCCCATCCCTGCTCCCGGCCTGCAGTGGCCACCTCAGTGTTGAGGGTTCATGTGCCCTCGCACTTTGGCAGACGCCACTTCCTGTCTCTCAGAAGCAGCAAGGCTCTGACCGCTTTGTAAAAAGCATCTCTTCTCCGGCACCAGACGGCCCCAGCCCAGCATCTCCATGAGTGAAGTGTAATGAGCCAGAACTGCAGGGTTAGGTTTCGCTTGAAACTCACTCAGGTTCAAAAATTAATGGAAAAAGTGCCTGGCAAAACTTGTTTAGAGCTTTATTGAGCCAAAACACTTTAAAAACAGTTTGGGAAGCTCAGTGAACCCAGGCCGTGGCCCAGTCTCATGCTTCGTCTAGGGCGGGTTCCGTTCCCTCAAGCAGGTAATGGGAGTCCTGGACCGGAGCCCCAGGCAGAGCAGCCAGGCCACACCACCAGGGCCTGCCTCGTCACCCCACAGTCAGGAATGCTCTGCACATGCATCAGAAGGAGAGTGGCTGAGCATCAGGAAGGAAAATAGAAAGGGCAGCCTCGCTGCCCAAGGCTGGGACAGAAATGACTCGCCTTGGGTTGCTACCTAATTAAACGGATTTGGGTAAACCAAGTAGTTTAAAGAAAAATGTTGGAATATTACCATTCGAAAACTATTATTATTTTGCAAGAGGAAAATAATTGTGAGTTCACAGGGACAAACCCAAACTTGCCAGAAACTAAAAACGTGATTTATTTACCTCTCGACCAGCCTTAGCGAAAAGAGCAGACCTGCAGGATCAGGACGCAGCTCTGGGCCCTCCTGCCTCAGCCGTCTGGCACTGCGAGAGGGGCGGGCACCCGGGGCGGGCACACAATGACAGCCACTGCTTGTCCTGCAAAGTGCAGAACAGAGAAGACAGGCTCCGAAGCACAGAGTGCCTCTGCCCCGGGCTTTGCACACGTTCCTGACGACTTAAGACGCAGCTCTGCAGAACCATTGCATCTCTGTGAAGCTGTCCTCATTGGCCTCAGGCGGACGCAGGCCCCTGGCACGTCCCTGAAGGGGTCGTGGCTCCCTGGGACACACACGTGGTACCCTTTCCCCGCCCCCGTGCACACCAGTGGAGTGTCAGCTCAGCCCTCTTTGTGTTTTCTACGAGAAATCGAGGTTTAAAGGGGACATTTTTCTTGCCTAGCGTGGTGTATGAGGCCCAGATGGCTGCAGCAGCTGTGCTGGCCTGGCCCAGCCTCCTCACCGGGAGCTTCCCTCTGGCTAGAGTTGCTGTTTCATCTGCCTCTATTCCTGTGGCCCCACTCCCGTGGAGGAAGAAGGACCCTGTTCAGCTGTGTCCTTCCTGTGAACTAGGCCTCCTTCAGGTGTGAGTGACAGAATCCACATTAAACTCGATTGAGCAGAAAAGGGAAGTTGCTTCCTCACCAAGGTGAAGACCCCAGGGGCAGGCTCTCAGGTCCCACTAGACTCAGGGGCTTGAGCAGGGCATGGAGTCGGCCTCTGGAGTCCCTGTCTCCATGGCAGCCCCAGGGTCCACAGCTTCCGCAGGAGGGCGCTCTTCAGGCCCTGGCTTCAGAGGAAGAGAACGCAGTTCCCTGTGGCTGCGAGGCAGCAGCAGGCAGACCTCCCTGGCCTTGGGTGGGCTATGCCCCCACATGGGCTATGGAGGGACTGGGAACATTCCCATGACCCCCCTGGAGTTTGAGCCAGGCAGTGGAGGTCCTCAAGCAAAGGTCATCCCACAGGGAGTGCTCTGTCCAGCAGGAGTGCCCTGGCCATGGGGCCCACGTCAGGGCACTGGCCTGGAAGGGAGCGTCTTAGTGGAGGCACAGGTGTGGTGTGGGTGCTGCCAGGCCACCTGAGGGGACACACATTCTAGGAAAGGCCACAGTGCACTGTGACAGGCATGGTATCCCGGAAGGAATGAAAAGCACTGCCCAGCCGGGCGCGGTGGCTCACGCCTGTAATCCCAACACTTTGGGAGGCCGAGGCGGGTGGATCACGAGGTCAGGAGATCGAGACCAGTCTGACCAACATGGTGAAACCCCGTCTCTACTAAAAATACAAAAATTAGCCAGGTGCAGTGGCGGGCACCTGTAATCCCAGCTACTTGGGAGGCTGAGGCAGGAGAACCGCTTGAACCAGGGAGGCGGAGTTTGCAGTGAGCCGGGATTGTGCCACTGTGCTCCAGCCTGGGCAACAGAGCGAGACTCCATCTCAGAAAAAAAAAAGAAAAAAAACCACTGCCCTTTGGGTTGGTTTCCTGGGGCTGCCATCACAAATGACCACAAACTGCGTGGCTTGAATGGCAGAAACATGACCTCACAGTTGTGGAGGCCAGAAGGCACAGTCGAGGGTCAGCATGGCCAGGTGCCCTCTGGAACCTGCCACGGAGGTCCCTTCCCTTCCTCTTCCAGCTCATGGTAGTCCAGGTGCTCCTTGGCACATGGGGCCATCATTCCAGTCTCTGCCTCTGTCGGCACACCACATTCCCCTTGTCTGTCTTCTCTTATGAGGGCACCAGTCATCACTGGAGTCCCCTTACTTGACACCATCTTAACTAGTTACAACTGCAGAGGTGCCAGTTACCAAATTAGGTCTCATTCCCAGAGACCAGGGACTTTAATGAGTCATTTTGGAGGACGCAGTTCAATTCACAACAGCATTGTTCTGAAATAATGATTACGCTGTATTGAGCCATTAGCAGGTGCCTCTCATTGATCTACCCTGAGAGGTGAAGGCTGTTACTATTGGCTCCTGTAGGTGCACTGGGGACTGGAATCCAAACTCGAGCTGTGGGCGAGTGGCTTCTCACACGGGAGCTAATGTGCTCTGTGAACCCGTCCCCAGGAAACTGGTGGAGTTAAAAACCCCCAGCCATTTACAGTCTCTGGAAATGGTCCTAAGGACACACAGCAAGTGAAGACACACCTATTGAAAAATACCTGATTTTTTTTAATCACCTTTACTAGGAAAGGTGAATGTATTTGGTATTTAAACCAAAGTCACCACCTCCTGCCCTCCCCCTCCCACTCTGGCAGGTGGGCTGCAGCTGAGGAGACGGTGGGTAGGGGAGAGTGACCCTGGGAGGGCAGGATGGCACTGTTTCTCATCCTGCCCCATCTGCCTGTTGCTGGGGCTGCTATGTCCTGGGGAGTCCGGTGGAGGGGTGGGGGCTCCCTTCTGCCCGGTCCCCACACTCATGGGCGGGAGGCTGGGCCTTGGGTGTGGCACACTGAGAAGACAGGGCGCGACTACCCTTGCCCCTACTGACAGGGCAGTGATTCCAGGCCAGGAGAGGCCGGTGGGGTCTCAGGATGCTGCCCTCTCAGCACTCAGCTCCTGGAGATGGAGGTGTCATTCACACTGAGGCTGGCCATTGTCCCCGTCCCCAGCTCCAGAGCACTGGCTCAGAGATTTTGCCTGGAGTGAGAAGCAGTAAGGAAAAGAGATAGCTTCTCATCTCCTCCCAAAAGAACCGACTTCATTTTCAGCAGAACATGGGAGAAGCTGAAAGCTCATATTTGGGACATTCATGGGTTTAAAGAAGATTTAGCCTAGATTTAGGAAAGTAATAGCTGTGAGGGGCCTCCAGGGGTCAAAACAAACATCACATGTGGACATCAGAAACTCTTCCTTCGAAGAAGGCACCATTTAATTGGAGTAGTTTGTAGAGTAATTTATGCCCCAGATATTGTTAAAAACAAGAGAGCAATCCAATGGCTGTTGGTGGAATTGAACAGCTGGGTGTGGTCAGAAAAAGAGGAAGAGATCTCTATCAAAATCCTGTCATTCCAGGGTGACTCTGGGCACATGTAAGCCTCCTCTCCCTACAGAGCAAGCCAGAGGCGCAACTTTGCTGGCGGAGGGCACAGTGTACGGAACAGGCTTCACCGCAGTAATCTCAGAAGTCGCTAGACAAGTAAATAAGCAAATAACAAGGCCCACAGGGGGACCAGTATCCAGAGCTGCTATAATACATTGTTTAAAACGCCCAGTTTCCAACAAAATAGGAGGCATGCAAAGAAACACAAGAGTGTGACCCTCACATTTAAATTTTTTAAAAAGCAGACAACAGAAACTGCCTGGGAGAATGAGCAGATACTGGATTGAATGGAAAAAGGCCAACACATCCCTTACATGCTCAGAGAACTAAAGTAAATCTTGATCAAAGAAGGCGGGACAACAATGTCACATCACGTAGAGACTGTTGATCGAAAGTATAAAAAAGAACCAGTGGAAATTCCGGAGTTGGAAGGTGCAATCACTGAAGTGAACCATTCACTATTGGAGCTCAGCGATCGATTTGAACTGGCAGAAGAACGAAAGTGAACTTGAAGATACATCAGTAGAGATTATGCAAGCCCAGAACAGGGAGCAAATAGAATGAAGGAGACCAAGGGGAGCCTTGGAGAGCTGAGGGGCACCAGGGATGCCCTCAAGGGCACCAGCCCACACAAGGGTGTACTACAAGGAAAGGAGAGGAAAAAAAGGATGAAAAAATATTAAAAGAAATAATGGTTGAAAATATCACAGATTAGTTTTTAAAAATAACCTACAAAACCAGGAATCTTAATGAACTCCAACTGGGGCAAACCTGAAGAGGCCCACAGACCCACACATTATTAGTAAAAATGCTGAAAGTCAATAATGAGAAAATCTCAAAAGCCAAAACAATAAAATAATGTATCACTTACAAGGGAACACCAATAAGGTTAACAAGTGACTTCTGAGCAGCAATGATGTGAGCTAGAGGCAGTGGGATAACAGCCAAAGGAGAGGAGAGGGAAGGGGAGGGGAGGGGAGAGGAGAGGAGAGGACGGGGAGGCAGAGGGAGGGAGGGAGGAAGGAAGGAAACCTGTCAGTCCCAAATCCTATACTCAGCAGAGCTTTCTTTCAAGAATGAAGGTGAAATAAAGACTTTTTCAGACAAACAGAGTTTGTTGCTAGCTGACCCACCTCACAAAAAATACTAAAGTTCTTCAGGCAGTGAGCAAGAAACTTCAGACACTAATTTGAAATCACAGGAAACAAACAGAGTGCCTCTTAAGGTAATTATGTAATTTCATAAGATGGTACAAATACATATTTTTCTCTTTCTGTAACTGGTGTGAAAAGTGATTGTATAAAATAATGTCTATAAAATATAATGTTGGGCCTGTAACTTACAGAAATGCAATATATGCATAGTGCCAGTAACAATACAAAGGAAATGAATGAGAACAAAGCTATATTGGACTAAAGAAATAACTACAGATGGTAAAATAATGGTTATCACAACGTATTCTTAGGTTTGTAACATTACTGTTTATAATGTAGAATGTATAAAAGGGGGAAGGGAATGGAGCTAGCTACATAGGAATAGTGTTTCTGTGTGTCACTGGAGTCAAAACATATATGGTACATACTAGAACAATCACTAAAACAACAACAAAAGTTCAAAAACTACACTAGAAAATAATTCACTTAATGCAAATAAATCAATAAATAATTAAATGAGGGGAAGACATAAGAAAAATAGAAAATGGAAAGTAAAGTGGAATAGAATAGAAATGAAAAGTAAAGTTCAATAACATTAAATGTGAGTGCGTTTAACAACCAATCAGAAAGCAAAGACTGTCAGACTGAATTAAGAAAACATGACCCAACATTATGCTGTCTACAGGAGACACACTGTCTATTCAAAGGCACACTATAGACTGAAACGATGGCAAAAGATGACACACGAAGGAAAGGTGGCGTGGCTGCTGTTAGACAAAACAGGCTTTTTTAAAAAGGTGTTATTAAGGAGGAATGTTTCATAATGATAAATGCACTAATCCGTGAGAAAGATACAACAATTGTAAACACATGTGCAGCTAATAAGAGAGTTCCAAAATCTGTGAAGCAAAAACTCACAAAATGAGGGGAGAAGCAGTTCAACAACAGAGAATGGGGACTTCGATACCCCACTTCCAGTAATGGATACAACAGCCAGGCAGATAACAAGGAAACAGAGGCCTGAACAACAGTATCAACAATCAGACCTGCCAGATATCTATAGCCGGCACACTCCACCCAGCGGCAGCAGAATGCACGTTCTTCTCAAGCGCACAAGTAACGTTCTCCAGGATGGGCCGCGTTCTAGGCCATCAAACAAGCTCAGGCGGTTTGAGGCCAGAGGCCTCTCTTTTAACCACCACAGTAGGGTCTTCAGAGGAGGCAAGCGGAGACTTGTCAGAGAGGCCCTTAGGGCTGGGTGCAGCGGCTCATGACTGTAATCCCAGCGCTTTAGAAGCCTGAGGCACAAGGATCTTTTGAGCCCAGGAGTTCAAGAAATGAGCATTTATCGGCTGGGCGTGGTGGCTCATGCCAGTAATCCCAGCGCTTTGGGAGGCTGAGGTGGGCAGATCACGAGGTCAGGA